TGATAAATACTTCAGGTGGCGTTTTTATCGCTTTATCTTTTTTGTACTGAATGCTTTAGTCCAGAATTTGACAAAAAAGGTATTGTAACTAAACGTCTAGATCAGGTGGCTATTAATATTGATGAAGGAATTGTTAAGGTTTTGGATAAAAAAATCTTTTTTTCAGAAACAAGCTTTCTGCTCCTGATTTGTGGTTCAAAGGATACTTTGATACCAATCGATGTCCTTTTTGATTATATAATTGAATATTATTTAGAGTTTTGTAGTTGTCGCCAAATAAAAATGTTGATTCCAAGAATATTCTAACCAAATTTAATGAAATAAGAATACATTTAACAAAGAAGAAAAAGTAAGAACACATTTCGCTCACGATTCACATGAAGGCCCGTTTGTCGTAATATGATTTGTAGGTCCCTTATTTATTTGAATAATTTTTCTTTTTTGTATTACTACCCTTGATATTTTGTTCATCGCATATGTCAGGGTTTTGTGAGGTTTTATGTCTATAACGCTATCTAAAAAACGATGACAAATTCGACTGAATGATGACAAATTTACACTGGTTGTATTCAAACATTCTATGTTTCAGGAACTTAATTTTAGGAATGGAAAATAAAGTAAAACCTACAGCAGATATAATTATATCAAAATATTAGACGAATGAAAGTTTCAATCAATAAAACCGAAATAATTCGGTAGATTACAATGGCTAGTGATAATTGCCAAATTCTCTCTTCCGTTGGATCTAGCTCAGATCTGGTTTCTTTCCCATTCCAAATTTTATGTATATTTCGCGCTCAGAGACAACAGAAATAGATATTAAGCCGATAAATTTACTTTAAAATTAGATACTTAGTTAAGAATTTGATGAAAAGATCAGGTTATTGATGATAACAATTCCCATTACGTCACTCTGCCAAGAACTCAGATGCTTAGTGAAGGAAATAGCGAGGAAGGAAGGAGTTTTTAGATAAGCATCATGACGCATTGACAATTTAAAATGACTGTACTTAGTCCGCTGAAACTCGAGGCTATTGGATAGCTTTTCAGGGGTCGAAATCTTCTTGGGCTATATAAGATACTCGTAAACCAAGCTCCAACCTAATTCTCGTAGTTGTTTACAAAAAAAAAAAAACAAAAAAGACGTACGAAAATCTCTTGAAAATTACATTAAATTACTTCGCCCTACAATTCAAATGTAGCTCGCCAGCGTGGAACTTAGTGAAATTACTGAAATTAAATTTTCGCGAATAATTCGGAGCGCGCGAAGCACAAAATTCCCAATGTGGTTTGTAGGGCCACTTTGTACGACCTAGTAACCTGACGCCGAAATGAATGGTGAAGTTAGTTTTTCCCGCTTTTCATGGAAACACGATTTTTTTAATTGAATCTCGGTTTTGTACGGTGCCTTTACAAAGAGGAAAAGTTTGTCTGTATTAAGTCTGAATCGGATTGCTCTTTGACATTTTACAGAGCTTTTGGTGGGCCAAAAATACACAAAAACTCCGTTAAAATAAGGCACAGTGAAACTTCTACTCACTACTAAAAATAGGACCGAGATTGATTGATTGAGAAACGATGTATAGGATAGAGCTGTGAAACAAAATAGAACAGGAGTAGCAAAGTTCTTATAAAGATATACTTTTGTAGGTTAGAAAACCTTAAGATTAATGCCTTGAAGGAAAAACAAATGTGTAATAAAGTAAGGTAGATAAGAAAGATGGGCAAGATAAGTGGGCTATTAGCCCATCAGTAAGATGAAGTGAAGATAGGCGACACTGATGTAATCTATCATCAAGTAATGACGTATGTACGAATTTTAAATTCGGCGGAAAGCACCTTAAGGACTTCCTGACATTAAGAATCTACTAAAATTATTAAAAATGAAAAGAGCAAAAAAAACAAGTATGAACGTTCACATAGTTAATGAAGTTGTAATTATTTACTTTCTGGGTGTTCACAAAATAAATAATTACTCTTGTACTTCGAATCCATACACGCTATGTATACAAGATAAGGCAACTGCTCCAATACCCGATAATTCATTAAGCATCTAAAGGAAATGCAATGTAAGATTTAATATTATATTATAATAATATATTCAAGAAATAAGTGAACATTAAAAATTTTCTATATAAAATATATAAAAATATTACAGTTTTATTGATATTTCTAAAGCCGAAATATAACTTACATTAAAAGGATCGCGTCAGTTCTTATCTAAAACAGTTGATGCACGAGGAAACGTGGATAAAATCGTCCTCAATATTTTATTCATGCCAGAGTAACTTTGTTCAGATAATGGCATCGGATAAAAAATCTAGAGGAGTCCCAAGCACTTTGAATAAAATGCTCATCAATCAGCCTCGTTGTCTAAAATTAATAATAATACGTTTTAGGCAAGTTCTTAGTGTAGCAATACAGGTCGACTGATTTCTACAAGAATAAAATATACACTAATTTACTTTCGAAATATGCCTTCAAAGATAAATGATAAATTCTGAAAAAGTTTTATTTAATTTATTTTATATCAAAGGCTTGAAGTACTTTGTTAGATTGTTGCTAGTATTGTTTTCTTTATATAAAACAACATATTTGAATATCAACAATACTTTTGTCGTCAATATTAATGTATTTCTTGTTACTTTTCAATATGTGTATATAATGTAATCGGTAGGCAGCGGCTTGGCTTTGCCCCTGGCATTGCTGAAGTCCATGGGCGACGGTAACCACTCACCATCAGGTGGGCCTTATGCTCGTCTGCCTACAAGGGCAACAAAAAAAAATGTGCTCAAAAAAAACGCATTTGTCCCTTTTTAACTGTGTTTATAAAAGTCCGTGTAAAGCAGCGCGGGTACATTCCTGACATCGCTGGAGGGAATTCAGAGATTGGCTTCGACATTGTGCTTAGTGTGTTTTATTATCGCTGTTCTATTAATTATGTATCTAAGATACACGCTTACAATAACTGTAATGGTTCAATAAAAGTATGCTCTGAAGACAAAATTTGTTTAATACGTACATCTATCTTGCCTGTTTCTGCAACAAAGCGACTATGCGTTCTTGTTTGAAAGCACCTGAGCTACAACGACTTCTGAATGAAAACTGATATATTTGTGGTGACATTAAAGTTAGGCCGCACTAACCACTTTTCATCAAGTAGACCGCGAGCTCTTTTAGCCACGTGAGCGTTCAAATTAATCGTCTTCCTTTTTTTATCAATAAGCAACTAAAGATAGGTAAGCGCAGCGTTGGGCGTCCCCCTGCCCGTTGGACCGATGACTTGCGGCGATATGCTGGGAGAGATTGGATGCGGAAGGCGGAGGATCGTTCATTGTGGCGGACTATGGGAGAGGCCTACATCCAGCAGTGGATAGATACAGGCGAACGAATGTACATTTTATCTATCCGGATCACGATTATTGTTCTCATATATGAATTATTCAAATAACACCGAATTTCGAAGGTGGCGATATAAAAGAGCATCAGCTATTCGCATAAAGCATTGCAATAACTGACCCGGTTTTAACACACCGGCGCGCTACAAGTTTTCGCTTTGTAGCGAATAAAAAAAAACCAATACGTGTATCGGAAAAGTTTCACCAAACAAAACTACAAAATGCGTTCATGTAAAAGTTTGACGTCATTAAATACTTTTTGTCTTTTTTTCATTTGCCGAAGATGATCGTGTCTGGTTAAACATTCAAGCACGTATATAATAATATTTAAGAGTCGTTGTGGCCTAAAGGATAAGATGTCCGATGCATTCGTGTTGAGCGATGCACCGGTGTTCGAATCCCGCAGGTGGGTACCAATTTTTCTAATGAAATACGTACTCAACTAATGTTCACGATTGACTCCATGGTGCAGGAATAACATCGTATAATAAAAATCAAACCCGCAAAATTATAATTTGCGTAGTTACTGGTAGTAGGACCTTTTGTGAGTCCGCGCGGGTAGGTGCCACCATCCTGCCTATTTCTGCCGTGAAGCAGTAATGCGTTTCGGTTTGAAGGGTGGGGCAGCCGTTGTGACTATACCGGACTATGACCTTAGAAGCTATATCTCAAGGTGGGTGGCGCATTTACGTTGTAGATGTCTATGGGCTCCAGTAACCACTAAAGACCAGGTGAGCTGTGAGTTAGTCCACCCATCTAAACAATAGAAGAAAAAAACCGGGGACTAATCAAACACGATCATCTAGCTTCAAAGTAGGATTCTCTGTATTATGCAAACCAGAGACTGATATACTTGCATAAGATTAAATATATAGACATATAAATTACTCAGATATCTAGCAAACGAACTTGTTCATCACGCAAATGTTTGCTAGTTGCAGAAATGGGACCTATTACCGTCGGCCCATTAGTTAGGGGCGTTAACTGTTGCCTCACCGACTGAGTAGTCATTTAGAGTAAAGTGTTAAGTATTTATCCGACTATATATTATAGATCAATGATCATAGACCAGCCTACAATTTGAATGCCGCCATTGACTTTGTAATATAAGATTGAAGTCTCGGTTGCAAGTCAAGTGTAAGCTTTAAAACAAAGATTTTTTAACTGTGTTGTTTGATACGAAAATGTACTTTTTATCCTTTTTTGTGTTTATATGACAAACCTATTGGTGGCGGTAGCTTTTGATTAGAATTGACAATGGCAAGAGAGGATGTCTCGCGGAACGATGTGCAGAATTTGACATTGGGAAAAAAGGAAAACTGGTGTTTAGTTTGATTTAGTTTTCAATATAACATATTATATATTTTAATTACGAAAACTTCAGAGTTATGTATGTAATGTATTTTTTTTTATTTAAGCATCAACACAACCACACACTCAATTTATTTTATACATATATAACATCAGTGAAAAAATAAACTAAACAATTAATAAAAGTGACAAGTACTTTCAAGTGAGAAGTGTTTTGGTAGGAAAAACATTCAGTGTGATGTCAGTAACTAATTTGACAAGTGCGACGATGCAATGGGCCGGTGGGGGGGACAGTGTCTTCCTCTGTAGATGTCACAGCGATTCACTGCATTCGATCACAAGCTCTTATTAGGACCGGACTTCTGGTCAAGATGTCGGCAGGTGAGCCTGGCCTTTTCATTATTTATTATTATTATTATTTTTAATTGTATTTTTGACTTGTTTTTTCGTTTATTGTAAATATGTTTATTTACTTAAAAAAATTTTTTTTTGAGAAAAACAAAAAAAAATTGTCCGCTGAGTTTGTTTCGCCGGTTCTTCTCAGGACTGTGGCTTTTTTTGGAACCGGTAGTAGAGTTAACATTGTTATTTATATTTTGACATTCAACAAGTGTATTATAGTGACATCTAAGTTGAAATAAATGATTTTAAATTTGAAATTTGAATTTGATTGTTCGTTTTATTCAGTTGACTGCTTTGAAGAAACTTAATGTCAGGCATTCAAAGTATATTTATAATTAGATTATAAAGAAGTAGCTTTAAAAATATCTATTAAAATGATCTATTGTAACTCCAGCAGGCTCAGCAGTGGCTATGATAGGCGGCAACCTTCGTTTTGGTTTAGCAGGCACGGCTAATTCCACGATGGTGAACAACACAAAACATTGCCCGCCAGGGGGCGCGGCCAGTGCGGCTGCGTTACTTGCTTTATCTAGTCTGGGAATGTCCGCGAACATTGCATTGATGGCTGTAATACTTAGCAAGAAACAGCTTAGAAGGTGAGTGTGAAACGGAAATCAGTTATTTAGGTATTTATTTGGGTGTAAACATTTTGGGTTATTTATGTTTTTAATTATTTATTTATTGCTTAGATGGGTGGACGAGCTCACAGCCTACCTGTTAGGTGGTTACTGGAACCCATCGACATCTACAACATAAATGCGCCACCCACCTTGAGATATAAAGGTCTCAAGTATAGTTACAACGGCTGCCCCGCCCTTCAAACCGAAACGCATTACTGCTTCACGGCAGAAACAGGCAGAGTGGTGGTACCTACCCGCGCGGACTCTCAAGAGGTCCTACCGCCAGTGTAAAAATTGATACATATGTAAATGAATTAAGCTAGTTTTTGTGTTATGGCTAGGCGTCAACCGAAATTTCCATTTTTTCTATTTCTCCTATGAGCGAATCGGTTCCTGTTTTAAGTTAGTCATAAATTGTATTGCACCGTGATGCAATTTCAGGAAACTATGTGATTCATGTTACGGCATTCCTACTCACCCTTCCGTAGCTCCGATTCTGAATTCCGTACAAAAAAATACACAGGTTGGAGATAACTGGCTGTTTTCATATTTTTTTAGTTTTACAGACATGTTACTCTTATTGAAGTGTAGTTGTATATAGCAAATAGACATTTAACATTTAACATGATTGTCTTACAAACTAATCCGAATAAATATTAATGTATGGATAAAGTAAATATTGAAAGATACGTTCGTTGTTTTGTATAGATAAGTATAGACGTAATATTAAATAGGACGTTGAGGCTTACATTAATAATATGGACGTCGAATAGTGAGCAGTGTTGATTGTTATTCAGATGTTTCTATTTTATAGTTACGATTATGGCTTCACCAATGTACTTACTGTACGGTGGGTACTTACTGTACGGTGCACAGTGAGAGCAATCTGTTTCGAACATTCTAGTTTGTTGTCAGTTTGTGTTAATTGTTATTGGTTAATTTTGTTTCCTTTATGTTGTGTTTATTAGAGATTTTATCTCTTGAAATTTATGACCGTGTTTACATATTTGTAGCGTCTATTTTGTTATTTTGTTATGTAATGATGTCATTTAATGTTTGTGACGTCTGTTGGATTTTTAAATTTAAATTTGCTAATTCTGCTTAATTTACTAGTTATATATTTTCAGATAGATTTTCAAATCAAATCGTTTTAAATGTATAAGTAACTTTTATTTTAAAACTTATAAACAATTTTAAACTAGAGAACTGTTATTAAAGTGCATATGTAAAGTTCTTCTGAGTGATTTTGTACATCTAATAGTATTAAGCATTAAAAACTTTGTTCTAGTTCCTTCTAGAATTTTACCTTTTCGAAATGATCGATTAAATAAAACGTTGAGTATTTTGCTAACAAGCCTTCGCTTCCTAAACGTGCTCTGTTTGCGTATTGCTCTATTGGAAAATGTAAGGAATCCTTTTTTGGAGGATTTGTTATCTATGGAATTCTTTGGGATCTTATATTTTTTTGTAATATTTTGTTTAAGGTCCTAACGTCTCCAGATGGGTTAGAGGGCTACAGCAGTGTTTAACCTTCGCGATTGATCTTGGGCTACGCACTTTAATTTCGGCCAGGTTAGCTCTATCGTCTTCATCTCCGCTGCGACAGTACACCGTTAAGTCTACTTGGGACGGCCACTCCAGAGCTTTACTCGAGATATAATATGTGGACTCTGTCCTGAGAGTATTACGTATCCGAGTCAATTTGCGACGCATGACCTGCATGTCAATTAGCATTTCTTGACATGCCTCTCAGAGTCGTTCGATGGAGATCTTCTCAGTTGCGTGATCTATTTCGTTACCTTGCATTATTTGCACCCATAAATCATGACTAATTTCACAGTTAATCGAAACATTTTGAGTTTAATTCTGCGAGTCAGCTCAAAACAATGTAAGACGTACGCAAGTCTTAGGTATATTGCCATAAAATACTTTTTTTATTTCATTTTATTTTATTCTTTTTGCTTATAGGCGATCAGCTCTGGACTATGAGCCGGTGCGTTGCGTGTGCCATCGTTTTGAAGAGGCTCCTCAGCAGGAGATTCTTCATGCCTCACCATCTGTCATCAACTCTCTGTATATCATGGCGTTTCAGTCATTTGATTTAACAAACTTTTGTCAACGCAGTAGCATTTTGGTTATTTTCCAGCCGAGTTCCATCCTTACTCCCTGCTAACCTTATCTCCGCCTTAACAGTTCTCATGTTCATGGCTTCATGGATCTGTGTTTATCACAAGCCATGGTACGTTTGCTATGGTTCTTTAGATACCATTCTGCATTCTTTGTATGATATTTAATATGGAATCTGGCCATAAATTACTGTAATAATGTAAAACACCGTATATTTAAACTTTTCTTAAGTTGTTAATGTTAAATTTACACCAAAATTTTATGATGAATGATATAAGGTGTTAAGGATCTTAAGTATTTAATCCAGATAATATTAGTACTGGTTTCATGGTTTAATCTTATACCTTTAAACGAGCAATTCTTGTATATTTATTAATATATATATATATAATCTGAATCTCGGATACGGCTCCAACGATTTTCATAAAATTACAATAGTGTACAGGGGATTTCGGGGGCGATAAATCGATCAAGCTACGATTTATTTTCAGAAAATGTGGTTTTATTCGTGTTTTCAATAATCAACTCTTCCCGACATCTATTGGCGAATAATAATACTATTTTTCTTAATTGAGGGCAATTAACCGCTTTAAAGACACAACAAGATGACGTTATCAAAAAAAAAAGCGAGCAAAGCTCGGTCATCGTCTAGTTTTAAATTAAATACATTTGTTTGGATGCCAACACCGGCAAAATACTCTTATATTAACATGATTTCTTTTTATTTGTTCTACTAATTTATTTAAGTAAAACACTATAAAGAGGAAGAGAGTTGGAACAATTTACTCACTTAAATCCGTTTTTGTAAACATAACATAAAAACAACAATATTCATCATTATATCTTTTTTTTTATTCAAGGACAACGGCAAAATAATTATAAAACAAATGTAAATTAACCCTGTTACCAAAACTCAAAGCTAATGGGTGTAATTTAAAATCTCCTCAACATAGCTTATTTTATAGAGAAATCTTCGCCTAAATTCTGAGATAAGCCCGTAATTTGATTTACAAGAGCGAAAGGAGCTCGCCTCGCGACAAAATCTAATTACCTATTCACTACTGCTCGTAATTCAATAAGGCATTATATTGCAGTCCTCATTTCGAGTTATATGAGCCACGATAAAACAAATAAGAATTTATATTCTTAATTGGTCACAACCTATTGATTAAAAAGTTATTATTTTTCCAATTTTAAAATTGCAAACATGCTGACCTCAAATTTTAATTGAAAAGGAAAATGCAATTATTATTCTTTGTAGATATGGCAATTTAGTGAGATTGACAGAATTGCTGCCTCTATTATTTATGTTAATGATTGCTTTTTGACATCGTCTTTACGATTATAGCCTCCGTCTTAAATATCTTGTAATTGCNGATTAAAAAGTTATTATTTTTCCAATTTTAAAATTGCAAACATGCTGACCTCAAATTTTAATTGAAAAGGAAAATGCAATTATTATTCTTTGTAGATATGGCAATTTAGTGAGATTGACAGAATTGCTGCCTCTATTATTTATGTTAATGATTGCTTTTTGACATCGTCTTTACGATTATAGCCTCCGTCTTAAATATCTTGTAATTGCCACAAAGATAACCGTTCGTAGATCTGATTGATTTTAGATTCACTATCCACTATTCCACAAATGCCCCAAGTCGTCTGTCTGCGTTTTGTTTAATTCTGTTGTCGGAATGATTTGTTTATATTCATTCTCTACAAAGAGAAGGATATGACAAAACTAACATTGTTCGTTTCAAAGTCACTACCTCGGTAACCAATTTAGTTGAGTTTTATAATAGATATATCAAAACCCACGAGGTCTGAATTTAAGATCGGCAAGATAAAAGAGTGAATGGATATTTCTGGTTTTGCAAATTCGGTTATAGCGCTGTGGGTTCATGTTAGATATTTTTAGGGCTTGCTAGAATCGGATTGATAAATTTAACTTTGTATTTCGGATGAAACAGAAGTATCTTTAACTGTACATTGTTAGAGCTCAGTTTTCAATGAACAAAAATTATCCATCCAATAAATTATAGATATACCTATATATATGGTGACATTGTGTAGATATTGGAGTTTTGGATCAAAGTAATTTCTTGGGTGCAATATTAACTAATGTAGAATAAATTGCTCTTGAGAAGTTTTTTATTGTCTTGATAGGGAATCGTGCGTTAATACAGCATTCGATTAGTTAATACAGCATTTGATTCACGTCATTGGTGTTGGTCGATATTTATGTGGTATAGAACCGTGAAAGCAAAGAATGAAATAAATTTCAAGTGAATATGCTTAGAAAGAGGGTTGTAAATGAACACACGTTTCTTCGGGGCTGTATAACTCTTGAATCAGTAAGGTATATTTTTTTTCTTTTTTTATTGCTTAGATGGGTGGACGAGCTCACAGCCCACCTGGTGTTAAGTGGTGACTGGAGCCCATAGACATCCAAAACGTAAATGCGCCACCCACCTTGAGATATAAGTTCTAAGATCTCAGTATAGTTACAACGGCTGCTCCACCCTTCAAACTGAAACGCATTACTGCTTCACGGCAGAAATAGGCAGGGCAGTGGTACCCACCCGTGCGGACTCACAAGAGGTCCTACCACCAGTAATTAGTCGATACATGATTGGTGGGATACATTTATTACTGGGCCTGACTATTTTTTTAGTCCCAACCACTAGGACTAACCTTTTGTTTTAACGCTGTGGAGCACATTTATTCATACCCGGTCGAAAGGTGTAACAGACCGGGTCATGTCGGAATCCGGCGCCTCCAGAGACTATATATAGCAAGTATGAGACTAGAATTATCCTGCCTATTTCTGTCACAAAGCAGTTAATTTATGTGTTTTGGTTTGTAGAAACGACCGATATTATCTAATACACTTGAAACTTTACCTCATGTCTCGCATTCAACTTGTGACGTAGGTATCTGGTCTTAATCGATTGAACATCAAATGAGCCGTGGCTTTCTTTACTTACCAGCGCATTAAATGCAAAGCTTATTACACTAGTATTTATTCAGCACAACGCAATATTGTAGTTAGTTGCCGATTTCTCAGCTAATAATTTAATAATGACTGGGGACAAGTCACACACGGTAATTTGCCCCAAAATTAGAATCTCCTGCACTATGGGAATCAGAAGGGAATCAGGGGTTGGATGCAGGTTGCCACGGACCGACCTCACTGGAGATTAGTTGTTGGTTGTTCATTGGTCGGTTGTTCAGCAGTGGGTATCTTTAGGCTGAGGTAAAAATGGTGATGATTATGGGAACCAGAGATTGATATATATATACATAAATACAGATATTTAAGGCCCAGACAAAGAGCAAATAAACCTGTTCATAACACGAATGTTTGCCCGATGTGGGAATCGAACCCACGACCCTCGGCTCCTCTGCTAGTAGCGCTAATTTCTGCACCAAAAAGTCAATCAAAGAACGACTAGTTTAAAAGCGACATTCATTTAATTTTAATAGATGTTGGTAAAAAAAACCATCACAATTCATGTAACATTTTTAATGCGGTATATAAAACGGATCTCGGGCAAGAATGGCGCCTAAGGGCATCGGGGACGCTCACACAAGACGCCCTAAGTACGTGACAGTTTTGTGATTGATAAATTGCCTGCCCATAAAGATTTCTCTTTTCTATCGAAACATTTGACAGAATGAGTAATAATTTTTCTTTTACTCGATCTTCATTTTGGAACTTACGAATTTTGTGTACGTTTTAAATATTATTGGAACACAGATTTAGAGAGAATTTAAAGTATTTTATCATTTTGTTATTGATGAATAGTTGAGCTCACTAAAGCTTTGTCCTAACCGTTTTTGGAGCATTCGAAATTTGAGCAAAATCATAAATTCAGCGTAAATGCGCAACTCGAGTTCGAGGCATATCGTAGTAGAAGTGGTCAGTCATAATTGGAGCCCATTTGCATCACAGTGTAAATATAAGCCCGTCTTTAAAGAACAAGGTTTTTTATTTTTTTAATAGTTCGATGATCTCACATCACACCGTGTTGAGAAGTTATCGGGGCTGTACACATCTCGATGTCACGGTCTCAAAAGTTGAGATATGTGGATGAGCCTTAATTAAATTGTATAACAGGTATGAACCGCCCTTATGTGTATGATTGCGACGCGGCAGATTGTATTGTAGTATCTGCCCACGCGGGTACCAATGCGTCGCAAGTGGACATGGATAGGCCATACACTCAGGGCAGAGTCCAGATATATTCCGAGGCAAGCCCTAGTAGTGGACCCCCGAGGACAAGAGGAAATTAGGGCGTCCTAAATAGACCTAGCGTGCTAGGACAACCGGACTAACCTGACCCGAAGTTAAGCTTTTTGCCCAAGACCGAATACGGACCAAGGCAGAATACTGTTAAAGCCATCTGCCCCTCCTGGGGGCCTTAAGACCTTAAACAACAACATGTGAGGGCTCGTAATAGGGTCTTAGCAGTAATAACGTTATTTTAATAATGTTTAGGGTTTCATTTTTTATTACACGATTTATTTCTTCATGGTAGTCTCAATCGCATTAAAATAATGAGTACAGTATCGTTCAAATCAGAAATCATAATAGCTTCACTGCAAAAATAGGGAAGAATGCAGTAACGATGTGAGCTTCTAACGTGTTTACATGTCTGGCCCCAAACTTAGATTTTCCGTACAATTTTTTTTATTTCTTAGATGGATGGACGAGCTCACAGCCCACCTGGTGTTAAGTGGCAGTACTAATACTAATTGGTACTAGTTGTACTAATTAATAGTACTAACTATTTAGTACTAACTAGTACGAATTGGTACCAGAGGCTTATACATAAAACATAAATATAGGTATATATAACCCTGAAAAAGAACAAACAACAGGTGTTCATCACACGAATGTTTGCCTGAACTCACAACGATGGGCCTGGCTGCCAGGGGCGCTAACTACTGCGCCATCGATTCAGTTAAGATTGCACAACTAATTTATGTGCACTATCTATGTGTATCTATGTTTGTGAAGTCGTCGTGGACTAAAGGATAAGACGTCCGGTGCATTCGTATGTAGCGATGCACCGGTGTTCGAATCCCGCAGGCGGGTTCCAATTTTTCTAATGAAATACGTACTCAACAAATATTCACGATTGACTTCCACGGTGAAGGAATAACATCGTGTAATAAAAATCAAACCCGCAAAATTGTAATTTGCGTAATCACTGGTGGTAGGACCTCTTGGGAGTCCGCACGGATAGGTACCACCACCCCGTCTATTTCGGCCGTGAAGCAGTAATGCGTTTCGGTTCGAAGGATGGGTTAGCCGTTGTAACTATACTGAGACCTTAGAACTTATATCTCAAGGTGGGTGGCGCAGTTACGTTGTAGATGTCTATGGGCTCCAGTAACCACTTAACACCAGGTGGGCTGTGAGCTCGTCCATCCATCTAAGCAATAAAAAAAAAGTATACCGTTACTAAATAAGTAGAAAAATGAGATGTGGATATTCTCTCACTCTCTCTTTCTCTCTTTCCCACTGACTTCGCAATTTTTTTTACAGATGGTCTCATGGCTTACTGTTTCACCAGGCGATAGTCGATTGTGCAAGGGCCGCTATACTTCTGCCTCTGGGCATCGCTGTATTTCGGTGTCAGCCAGTATATAAATGCTCATTAGTGGAAACAGCATTTTTGTTACTGGTAAGAAATGTTTTTGAATATATGTATAAGTTTTATCTGCTTATTATCTATAGTAAGCTGATAGCTTTGTATGTTTTTGTTAAAATGTACTTTAAGGAAGCTTAGGTACTACTGTTTGCCAACTATACATATTAGCTATTTTACAATACAATTTGGGGTTGGACTTCGTGTTTTATAATCATCACGATGTGTATAATTTACTCTATTAATAATTTAATACTTGGTGGGCTCACAGGTATATAAAATATGCAAAAAAGATACTGGTATAATACCATTAACTAGGTAATAGGTTGTGGCCTTTACTAGTTATAAATATTTTAAAGTTTTTAGTAGAGGCCGTATTTAGTTACAGTTGCTTGGCATTTGCCATTACAAGCAAACGAAAATGCAAACTACTCGACGGTAAGTACTCACCGTCGTCCATGGACATCAGCAATGCCAAGGGCACAGCTAAGCCGCTGCCTTCTGCTACCCTATTAAAACTATATATAACCTAAGAAAAGAGATTTTCTATTGAGTGTGTAATGTGACAACATTGTCACAAACACCCTCTAAGGTTTGAAACAAAAGAACAATATCATTATTTTATTGAGCAATCCGGATGCCTTGTGTAACTCATATATCCGATAGCAAAACAGGTATTATTGCCTATTGAAAATAAAATAACAATACAGTGAACCTTCAGCGCCCAATAAAACCTTTTTTGTAATCTGAAAACAAACGTGAACCATGAATGGCTTTATGACGTAATTTTAATAAAGATATCAGATCAAAAACAGACGTAAATGATTTATTTTGGGAGATCTGCGTTGGAGTGATATGGTCTTAAATCATCAACTAAAATCATTCGGCTTTCGCAGTCATTCCATTGCGTTCTGCTCTGAATTGATCTATTTAATTTAATGCAGACTATTAACTTTGTTCCTTTCCTTCAGACGTTGTTGAAGCCTTAGATTTATTCTCATTTAATGGTTGTTTGTTATTTGTTTAAGCGACAGCAATCATTTGTGAGAAAATCTCAATTTTAGTCAGTATTGTACGAGTGATTAACGTCGCTACTTTTTCCATGAAATAGACATTTCTTGAAATCATTCCGGCACCACCCGTCCAGCTTCGCAACGATATTATATATGCTGTAAAAGATAGATGATCAATAAAAAATACAAAAATATTTTCGTAAATATTAGTTACATTTTTTGCAAGACTGAACGATAGGCCATATTTTGAAGGCAACTGAAAAATGGATACAAAAACTATATTTAGAAACACTCGTGATAGCTTATGTTGACGTTATTAATGGCACGGGCGATGGTTGCGATCGAATGGAAGGTTCATCTATTGGGTACTGAGCACATAATAGCAAAACAATCCGAGTTGAATTGTTACGAAAACTTTAGGACCACGATTCCTATACATTAATTCTAATAGTTAAAGGTTTTATATTCACATTGCATACTTAGTGTCTTGCTAGCATACAAAATACCCACAAAAGGATTAGGCTAACTAAGTCCAGGTCATAAGACCTTCGCTATCTTCGATACGGATACAAGCATTTGAAGAACTTGTGGCTTAACATTGTACGACGTTCACCGGAGTAGAGTTCATCTATACTACCTGGAGCCACTGCGATCATCCACAGTGCGTTTCCAGAGGTCTTTTTTGCCACGTACCATCCGGCTATGGAGTGAGCTCCCCTCCACGGTGTTTCCCGAGCGCTATGACATGTCCTTCTTCAAACGAGGCTTGTGGAGAGTATTAAGCGGTAGGCAGCGGCTTGGCTCTGCCCCAGGCATTGCTGAAGTCCATGGGCGACGGTAACCACTCACCATCAGGTGGGCCGTATGCTCGTCTGCCTACAAGGGCAATAATAAAAAAAAAAAACTTGATTTTGTCATTATAAATCGTGCTAAGTGTGTCAAAAAAATTGACTATTACCAAACACATAAAATCATGGACTTCCATTTTCAAGTTAACTTATTATTGGTAGAAAATGATGAGCCTCTAAAGCTCCAAAGATGATGTTTCTAAAGGCCGACCCAAATTTTTCTATTGATTCAGTAAAATCTTAAATCAGGTGACGGTGTCGACAGTAAATATGCTGACGACGGTCCTGAACGACAGTCCTATTTTTCCCGAAAACGAACAGGAGCAGGCAGATTTATCGGCGCCATTACTCATGGACAGTCCGCAGGTGAGGTTTTGAACGATTACCAACTCACAAGAATCCGTTTATTCGAATTTTGGTTGAGCTTAGAACGAGCAATTATCAAATTTGTCTTGTGTACCAACGTCTTTACTATATTCTGAAATTATAATTGAATATTCGAAGCATTCATACGATTCGTATTAAAGGATAGAATAGCCGTATTACAACATAATTGAGGATTCGACCCTTGGCGTTAATTACCTCACTCCCAGTAAATCCTCCAGTAATCACTTACTTACGTCAAAGTTGCGATATGGGTATGGAACTCGTTTGCCTAACTATCAGATATCGAAAAAAAAATATAACATACCTATTTTGTTTCAGTGCGTTTTATTCGGTACATTCATGATTTGGTTCGCATCAATAACTATTAATCTCGGCCCGACATTCCTGTCCGGGGCCCTGGCGGCCAGTGCCGGTTCTTATGGCTCGTACGGGCCGGCACCTTCGTGTCCCTTGGTGCGGGGTCCTTTCCGACATTACGTACTTAACGCGTTATGGATAGGCGTGAACGCTGTCTGCGTCGGGTTGACGCTTTTCCACTTGAGGAAACTCCACAGGGATCTCACTAAGGTTAGTGACAAACTTATTCAATCTAAGGGTTGATTAGAAGAAGGACACACAAATAAAGATGGCATGGAGAGGTTTCAGGCAAAGTAGTCGTTGTACGCTTCGTTATCGTTGATTTGCTGTGTCATATCCATAATCATAATCAGAGGTATAAAACCTCTCCATGACCCTTAGTCATCAAAGGCATTATCATATTGACGACACGCACCAACTCGTGAAGGCGGATGTACTCAATGGGATATAAAATTGATGTAGCATGTTGCAATGCAAATGTTCACAGTTGGAGGGGAAACGCCGGTTAGTGTACGTTCCGGGAAATTGTTGAAACTCACCAAGTCACCCACACATAATCTCAAGTCGCTACACAGGCCGTGTGTACTAGTCTCACTTTGGTCGGACTAGGGTATTTTGTTGGTGTATTGCCAATATTCGCTGCGGTTCTCCGTAAATAAGATTTAAATTTTCGGAATTCGAGTTGTTTTTGAATGGATGGTCGGAATATACGGCATACGTGAAAATTTTACTAAAATACGAGGCTGGCTGTATGGACGCCAAGTTGCGGAGTCGGTTTAGAGAGTCTTCGATAATTTAAATCTTATCGCATGCAGGCTAACGTAGAGGCAGTTCGAGTAGCTGGTTTAGTGACAACGCTTGTCAGCATGGCAGGAGACAACCGGCGTATGGACTCTCTGCCCAACAGCGTTGGACCGAGGGTAAGTAAGGTTGTGCATGCGAACGATTTTCACCTTCTCAGCACAAGTTAATGTAGTTAATCTTCGTTCTACTCTCCTTTTCGCCTGCAACCACAAAGCTCCATGTCTCTATATAAGCTTCTTTTCTTCTTCTTTCTTTCTAAGTGACTTAGTTTAGGCATGAATCAGCAATGTTTGTTTTGTTTTGTAGACTGTTGATGGTAACTTTTCTGATGGCCACTGCCGACCATCAGGCAGTGCCAGTCTGCCTCTCGGCGGAGGGCGTCGTCTTCGAGGGTACTTGGCACGTGTTGAGCGAGAAGGAGTCCGACGAGTTCGCATGTTTCTTGTCATCACCGCGGCCTACGTACTCTTCTGGGGTCCATTGTTCATGATTACGCTGCTCCACCATCCAGCTCTGACATCACATGTGGCGTATGAAGTAAGTCACGCAAATTTCACAAGCATACATTCTCTGATATAATGAATAAAGTATCCACAAGTAATTTTTACACAAAAAAAGTTAGAGAACTATTTCATATTTATATAAAAACAAACGTTGAAGCCAGAATTAGAAACCTTTCATTCACGATAATTACTGTGTATTGTCTAAACCAGTTCAAGAACGCATTTTGAGCGTGTTAACTTTACGAAATTCTCTTAAGTTAGAAATAAGGAAGTCTGGTATTTGGAACGAAGTTCCTTATGGGGCGATGCCGAGGGGTGGGTGCCCTAACCGGGAAAAAACGTCCGTAACGTAAGATTTTTATTAGTAATGCACACAGTGTACGACTTAACTTTGTAATAACGTACAAAAAATAATATACATATTTTTTTTAATTTATTGACTACCATCTCAAAGCGTTCGTTTGCGCAATACACTAATTCTTATTTATGCAAACAACTGTGAATGAAATAAACCACAACAAGTTCACACGTTACCAAATGACCGTGGATTGTTGCGAAACCTCCAGTTTTATTTTCTTTATACCTCGAATAGAACTTAAAATTAATATTTACATAATAAGGAACTTCGTTCTTATCCGGTGTCCCACGACACCGCACATCTTTTTATTTCTCTTTTTCATGATACCGATCACTCTTTTATCTATTAGCTATACTTCCAAATCACGTTGCACATTTCGTACGTGCACGCGGCGGTGAACCCGCTGTTGTTCATGGCGTTGCATCGTGCGCTGCGCCGCGCCGCCCTCCAGCTGTGCTGCGGCTGCTGTGTGCATTGGAGTCAATTCGTTCTAGCCCTTACTGCTGCAGGTAAAGTATTAAAATCGATCGTTCTCGGACTGTCATCGCTAACATTATGAATAACAAGCGTCCCGCTCCGGCTCCGCTCGGGTCTTTAACAAAAATTTCAACGATATTTGACGTTGTTTTATTTTTTAAAATAAAAGAGCATTTATTGCGGCATAACTATAACAATTAGACATATGCTGCCGCGACACTTTTTGTAAATAATGATGTGTTCTTCAAAGTCGTAGTACATTATTTTATTCAATCATCAATAGTTTTCGCAGAGCACGCGATGTAAAGAACATTTTAGGTAATTTTTTGTACATCTTGGGTTACATTATTGGAGTTTTAGTAAGGATCCCTATTTTTTTCAAAAAATATTATAGCCTATGTCACTCGGGAATAGTGTAGCTTCCAAACAGTGAAATAACTTTTCAAATCGGTTCTGTAGTTTCGGAGCCTATTCAATACAAACAAACAAACAAATATTCCCTGTTTATAATATTAGTATAGATAAAGCGTTAAAACGACCCTAGGCGATCACTTTATCCGCGCCCCTGTACCGGTCATAAATGGCCATCATAATACTATAAATTTTAACTAGTTGTTTTTGCAATTACGATGACGTTGTATCATCAAAACCCTAGACTTTAGTAGACCAAGACCCTTGTATTTACGCTAATGCGCTAATGAAATATGACCTTATAACTGTGAAAAAATCAAGAGGGACGACAGAAGATTTAGATTATAGATCAGCATTTAATTCTTAATCGTCGTTAAGTTATTTTCTTTACTTATTAAAAATTCTGAGCTCGCGCGCCCCTTGTAACTACACGCCCCTAGGCACGTGCCTAGTTTGCCTTACAGATAATAGAGGAAAACGCTTTATAATAAATCTGTACGAAATGATGATTTAGATATATATTTTTTGTGTTTAGATGGGTGGAGGAGCTCACAGCCCACCTGGTGTTAAGTGGTTACTGGAGCCCATAGACATCTACAACGTAAATGCGCCACCCACCTCGAGATATAAGTGCTAAGGTATCAAGTATAGTTACAACGGCTGTAACACCCTTCAAACCGAAACGCATTACTGCTTCACGGCAGAAATAGGCAGGGTGGTGGTACCTACTCATGCGGACTCACAAGAGGTCCTACCGCCAGTAATTACGCAAATTATAATTTTGCGGGTTTCAATTTCATTACACAATGTTATTCCTTCACCGTGGAAGTCAATCGTGAGCATTTGTTGAGTACGTATTTCATTAGAAAAATGAATCTGAGGTTTGAACATCGGTGCATCGTTCAACACGTATGCACCGGACGTCTTATCCTTTAGGCCACGACAACTTCAAAGATATAGTTATTCTGATCGTCTTAGAAAGAGAGAGAGAGAGAAAGAGTGAGAGTGAAAGAGAGAGAGAGAGAGAGAGAGAGAGAGAGAGAGAGTATTCTTTATTGTACACCAAAAAAATAAATAAACNAAAAAGCAGATATATTTGTACAATAGGCAACACAATAATCTTAGCGTTAGAAGAAAACTTTTTTCCGTACAGCCCAACCGCCACTAGCCCCGTCTTCGTTTTCTCCGGCGGCGGGGTCCCCGGAGCCTCCGCCGGCTCCCCCGCCCCCCGCCCCGCCCGGCCCCGTGCCCTCCGGTCCCCCGGCGCCTCACACGATGATGGTAATTACCTCTTATATGTAAGTGTTGACACTCTAATACGTGATTAATATCACTCGCACAACCCCGCACGCGTAGTTTGTTATTGTCCTTTGATTCTAGTGCATGAATTCCGAAGATTTCCTCTAATGTCCAAGTGGTCTTTTGCGACGGAGGCTATAGTTGCTGTAACTGGATAGATCGATGATCGGTAATTTCGAGACGTGTAAAGTGGGTGGCGCATTTACGTTGTAGATGTCTATATATGGGCTCCAGTAACCACTTAACGCAAGGTGAGCTGTGAGCTCGTCCACTCATCTAAGCAATAAAAAAAAACAAAAAAAAAACATAACGCGACTTGCTCAACTATAGTTTCAGTCGTTTCCTTTCGATAGCGGCCTGCCGATCCCCAGGCACTTTGGTCCTAGTTGAATGACGGCAAACCTCTCGATCTCAGAGTTGGGAAGTTGAGCAGTGTGATGCTGAGAGTATGTCGAGTGCGCGTGTGCAGGGAGACGAGGATATGATGGGGGAGCCGTGGGGCGGCGGGCGCCGGGCGCGGTCCCCCAGCCCGCTGCTGCTGCCCGCGCTCTGAACTGCCGAGACGCACACATCTACGTACACGCTCTCGCTCTCACACTCTTCTCACTTACTATTTGACATGTAAATACTCATTTAGTGACGCTTCTTTTAAGTATAAAACTTGTATAATCATAATGTACTAGCTGGCCCGGCAAACGTTGTTTTGCCATATAAATTATTTCTAGGAAAGATAAATGAGATAGATATATGGATAGATAGATTTTTACTGGTGGTAGGACCTCTTGTGAGTCCGCACGGGTAGGTACCACCGCCCTGCCTATTTCTGCCGTGAAGCAGTAATGCGTTTCGGTTTGAAGGGCGGGGCAGCCGTTGTAACTATACTGAGACCTTAGAATTTATATCTCAAAGTGGGTGGCGCTTTTACGTTGTAGATGTCTATGATGGGCTCTAGTAACCACTTCTTAACACCAGGTGGGCTGTGAGCTCGTCCAGCCATCTAAGCAATAAAAAAAAGATACCGACTGCAGCGCCACCTACCCGGCTGATTTCTAAATCTAAGCCATTGTCGAATCTACCTGAAGGTACACAGAAAATTTCATTAAAATCGGTCCAGCCGCTTAGGAGGAGTTCAGTGACAAACACACGCACAGAAGAAATACATATATTAAGACTAGTGGTCCCGCAGTAGTCGAAATTCGACGTAATTGAAATTATAAGTTTGAACATTATTATGGTTCTATTGTCATAGACTATTATACTTCTATAATATAATCACAGATTTCGCCAAGACTACACACTATAGATAACTAATATTAAAGACAAACAATATTAATCTATTCTCAATTTGATCACAGACTTTAAGCAATAACAAAAGTTTGGCAATAAACAAAAGAGTATATATGCATGTGTGTGTCAAATACATGGTAGTGTGTGTAATGTTTTTTTTTATTCATTTAATGTATTTTTGATGAATATTACAAAAAATATTAACATTCTGCACTCCTTCTCTATATTATCTATAAGTGTGGGAAATTTGATACTCCTCCGTTAGCGCGATTTTCGTAAAAAGGGGTACAAAGTTTTTGCTTCACCTAATAATATATAGATTACGTCAATATCAACATTAAAAAACTATTGCCAGGATTTTGTTTTTTGACTATATTTTAGCTTTTGTCGTTACCAGTAGATTCATTGGAAATATATTTTTGTTATGGTAATTAAATCTTTGTGTTACTAGGCTTAACAATATAATCGAGTTTTCTTTTAAATTGATGTATATTTAATAAAATAAAAAGACATATTCGGAAAGCTTCACTTTACAAGTGAAAAAATAGTGATAATTAAAAATAAATTGCACATATGTAGTCAAAACTTTTTGTAGCAACTTATATATCACATTATTAAATTATCAATATAAATAGATTAAGCACAAGCTATTATAATCGTCTTTATATTATAACTAACGTAATATCGCCTTTTCGCGTTAAAAGTAGACAATTTCCAAAAATATTCGGAATTGAGTTAATATGCGTAGACATTTGGTAGATATCACCTGTATTTTTCTCATAAATACTGTCAAAAGAGCGTAGTTTAGGCTAGTTTTTTTTTTTTTTAGTTTATATTTTGACTACTATTAAGAAAATTAATACATAATTTTATTTAACTTTAAAAGACAGATAATGTAAGTGGTAAAAAATAAAAATACAAATGTTGCAAATATGATAAAAATTAAAAATATTACATGTTAAACCTTTAAAATTAGTAAGTTTTGAGATTATTCTGTTTTAATGCGAGAAGACGATATGTAACATACATTAAGTATTTGTCAGATAGTACATTTAGCATTTATTTAAAAAAACTCAATTTTTACTATAAGGATATCGTAACAATTATAGACATAGTTCGTCGTGGCATGAATCGTGTATTAAGGGAAAGTTATTTAGACACTTTGATCTTATTAGGTAATTGTGTATTAAAATTTAATTATTGAAAATTATAATGTAGACGGTATTTTTGTAAATAACTTTGTCGTTACTAAGCGTTTTAATATTAGAATTTCAGGCCTAGTCTGAATATCGTTGTTTAAGATTCAAAACTATGATGTTGATTTACGTGCTAAATCCGTAATTCTTGCATTTGATATTTCACAGTAAAAAGAGTAAAGCATATTAAACGCTATTGCTTAAAACGGTAATTAAAGTTTTCGGTGATTTTAATGTTTTCATATGTGTTGGCTTGATGTCCTGTATTGCAGTCAAAGTAAATTGCTCAAAAAAAAAAAGGTATGTAGGTAGTCGGATGAATCCAATTCATTTTTCATTCATGAATTCAATGCGCGCGATAAAACGCGTAAGGCGGATGAGAACGCAAAAGGCAAAGCCGCGTTCAGCCTAGACGTATTTGTCGATGGTCAGTTTTAATCAACAATTATGTCTTTATCCGATAAAGGACACGGTCATGAATAAAGATTATTTTGTCTCCAAAAGGAGAGATTTAAAAAAATCACTCTTAGCCAGCTTTCTTCAGCAATTAATATACCAGTTTTTTTTATTATGAGTGAGATCCTAGTTACCCACATTTCGTAACTAGACGTGACCTTTTCAAGATTCAAGATAAACACTTTAGTTTATTAAAACTAGCGTTTGTCTAATGTTCAATATTCGGCCATTATCACGGACACTTCAAGATTTATATTTATTTTATGTATTACATTCACTCTGTTTACAAACAAAAAATGTTATAACCTGCAAATTTTTTAGTGATAATTTAGCAATAAATTATTATTTTGCACTAACTATTTTGTATTTTCCGATTTTTGTATTATAGATGTAAAAAATAGTTAAGGTTGACAAACCTTGTCATTAAATTGCAAGCTAATATTATGGTCTATTCAAAATGGATACTTCATGGAAGTATTAAAATCGCACGAAGTTTTGAATTGATGAACGACTTCTAGAATGAGATGATTACAGAATGTCATGATATTTGGAGAACGAAGACATCTCATTTAAATGTATCAATTATTGTATTATATGACGTATTGTATAAAGTATATACCTATATATGTGTATGTGGTGAGTGTTAGATTTCGTCTACTTTAAATCATTATAGTAAAATGATTTCGGGCTAGTGAACGTCATTCATACATTTATTTGCAGATGCAAAATTTGATAACCAACCCTAATTTGTTAAGGTCTAATATTTTTAGTGATTTATAATGTATTTGTGACTCATAGGATTTTGACACTAATCGAAATACGTTCTGAGCTATAAGTCATTATTAAGTGTGAATAAAAAACAATGAAGAAATTTAAGAACTTGCGTGTGAATTTCATAAGTGAATTGGATGCTGCTCGTCATCGATTTGATCTCAGAAACAAGTGAAAATTTTAAGCTCCACTGTCGAATGTTCTGTAAAATTGTGTAATATTTCGTGACTTGTAGACTAAGATAACAAATAAATAAATTTAATTCGTATCGTGTTATTGTGAATGTGTAGTATTATCATTAGCACTTCTCATTAAAAATTCCACTTTCAATGTTTTGAAAGCTACGATTTTTCAACGGTTGCTTATGTGCCGGAAAAACTACTTAGGAACGAGACATTACCACCTGAATTCCGTTTGCCAAATATACAATGATCATTGATTGAATCCAGGGCAACTACACTTATTAATTGTGTGATTCGGTACATTTAAGTACCTGAAGTACATTGAAGTACTACCTTGAAGTGGCTTCTACTGGATAATTAGAAGCTAAAGTTACCAAGAACTGTAACTAGGTAATGTAGGTACTGAAGGTTAGGTAGTAAGTATTGTCTGTCTCTGCCAACTCCTACCTCACCCCTCAAAGTGGGTTACATGTCTTCACGGTAGTAATTAATTTGCAATAACAGCAGTCATTAATGCAATTAATGCAAATAAAAAAAAAATTTAAGTTTTCCTGTTTCTAATAAAATATAATTTTAGTAAATTTCTTTACAGTTAGTCTTCTGTAATTTGTGACAACAGTAAATTATTTTAAATATTGAAGTTATTATAATGAGTTGAATGAATCCGAGATTAAGTTGTAAAACCAGTTTTATAAAATTATGGCTATGATTAGCGAAAACTGAAGAAAATAATAAAATGTTGATCGCACGAATTCACCAATTTGAACCGCCACAATCGAATTACATATAACCGTTGTTATTAACCGACCACAGATACTTCTAAAGAAATAAAAACTTGCTTAGTATTTATTGTCTGTTTTTCAAATTTAATTTTGTAAATATTAAATTAATTTTAGAACAACAATGGTACCAGTACGTAACATGTCTTAAGAAGTTTTAAGTAAAAAAAGAATACTGAAATAGAATGACTTAAAATAAAAGAGTAAAACAACATAAACTTAAAGATGTGTCTAGATGAGTTTAAATTAAATGAAAAATCATAAAATGGGAGTCCTATTTATTATATAAGTAGATAGTTTTTATTAAAGAAAATATCATTTTCCTCATTTCCACAACATTACGTCAACTATCTTCGAAGACTGACAACTTTTTGTTTTAATTTAAAATGTGCCAAAACCTTTCTTCTCTTAGGCATTAAAAATAAATAAATAAAAGTAATAATATCAATAAAATGAAAAGTATGTCGTAAGCATATTAAACATGAGGGTTATGATCCGTTCTATAAAATATTAATTTACAATTTTTACTATTCTTAATTGAAACCTAATTCGTCCTTTTATTTATTGATCGTAAGAAAATACGTTTAGTAAAATGATTGTATATAAAGAAATGAATTGAAAAAGATATATGAAAAATACTAAAAGATGTAAGAAGTAAAACAATAGGAGAAAATGTATTAAATGTGTTCTATAAATAAAGTAAACAGAATGCTATTTAAATAAAAGGAAATAAATATTATTTAATAAATAATTCATTGTTTTATTATCTATTAATTCAATTGCCAACGAAGATAACGACATATTGGTATGCCAACATTTTCCCCCTCTCATTTTTATGAGATAGTAAAAGAGCTCATTTCTGGGCACATTGATTTGGAAATT